GTGTGGACTTGTATAAGGATAAACATATAGATCAATGGAAAAGAATTGAGAATTCCTAAATGAACTCTCACATTTACAGTCAGTTGATTCTTGATAAGGGTGCCAAAACAATTCAGTGGAGAAAGGATAGTCTTTTCAACAAATGGTGCTAGGACAACTGGATATCTATATGCAAAAGAATTAATGTGAACTCCTAACTCACTATACATACAAAAAACTCAAAATGGACCCAAGACCTAAATGTAAGAGCCAAAACTATTACACTCTTAGAAGAAAACATAGGCATGAATCTTTGCGACTTTGATTAGGCAATAGTTTCTTAGATATAGCACCAAAAGGACAAGCAACAAAAGAAAAGATAGATACACTAGATTTAATCAAAATTAATAATTTTTGTGTTTGAAAGGACCATGAATAAAATGAAAACCCATAAAATAGGCGAAAAATTTTGCAAAGCATATATCGGATAAGGGACTTATATCTAGAATATATAAAGAACTCTTACAATAATTACAATACTAAATAATAATAATAATAATAGTAAAAAGACAAATAATCCAATTAAAAAATGGGCAAAGGGGGCCGGCCCAGCGGCGCAGCAGTTAAGCTCGCACATTCCTCTTCGACAGCCCGGAGTTCGCAGGTTCGGATCCTGGGTGCGGACATGGCACCGCTTGGCAAGCCATGCTGTGGTAGGCGTCCCACATATGAAGTAGAGGAAGATGGGCACGGATGTTAGCTCAGGGCCAGTCTTCCTCAGCAAAAAGAGGAGGATTGGCAGCAGTTGGCCGCAGATGTTAGCTCAGGGCTAATCTTCCTCAAAAAAAAAAAAAAATGGGCAAAGGATATAATAGACATTTCTCAGAAAAGATATACAATGGCAATAAGCATGTAAAAGATGCTCAACATCATTAGTCATCAGGGAAATGCAAATAAAAACCACAATAAGATACCACTTCACAGTCATTAGGATGGTTATAATCTAAAAAGACAGATAATAAATAAGTATTTTCTAGGATGTAGAGAAAGTAGAACCCTCATACGTTGCTGGTGGGAATGTAAAATAGTGCAGCCACTTTGGAAAACAGTCTGGTGGTTCTTCAAAAGGTTAACTATAGAGTTACCAAATGACCCAACAACACCACTCCAAGAGAAATGGCAATATATGTCCACACAAAACCTTATACGTGAATGTTCATAGCAGCATTATTCATAATAGTCAAAAAGTGGAAACTACTAAAATGTCCTCAATTAATGAATGAGTAAATAAATTCAGTATATCTATACAATAGAATGTTATTCAGCGATAAAAAGGAATGAAATTCTGATATATGCTACAACATGGATGAACCTTTAAAACACCGTAAGAAGACAGATACAATCACATATTGAATGATTCTATTTATGCTAAATGTCCAAAGTAGGTAAATCTACAGAGACACAAAATACATTAGTGGTTACCTGGGGGTGGAGTTGGGGTGAGGGTGGTTGGCAGGTGATGGTAACAGAATTTCTTTTTGGGGTGATGAAAATTTCTAAATTTACTTGTCCTAATGGCTGCACTACTATGTGAATATACTAAAAACTATTGAATTGTGAATTTTAAATAGGTGAGTAGTATGGTATATGAATTATATCTAATAAAGCTGTTACCAAAAACTAACAAACGAAAAAAACTGTAGCTCTCTCCACCCTGCTGGATACCTCTTTCAAGGAGGATGCGGGTCTATCACTCGCTCCCTGAAGCTATAGTAGCTCAGCCAGCTGTGCTTCCCCACCCCCAATCATGCATCATTCAGCCCCTCTTTCACTATCACATCTACCAGGATATTTTCCTATCCAGGAAAGACCATGGCACACCAGTTAGCTCCATAATGGAGCAATGGAATTGTAACAATGAGATGGCTGGAGTCAGACTCAGAACCACCCACGGATGGGACATCAAATCTCTGTGTCTGCTGGCGAGGTGACTTGAGCTCATGGTAGAGGCCAAGAAGACAGAGCCTGGCAACTCGAAGAGTGTGATTGTCAATGGTGTGATGGTGATGGTGGTGGTGGTGATTAGAGTTAGCAGTTACTGAGCATTTATAACAAGTCAGTTCTGTAAGTACATTATTTCTTCATCCTCATGACGATCATATGAGATAAAAGGTATTATTATCCTCATTTTAAGCATGAGGAAACTAATGCTCAAAGAAGTTAAATAACTGGGCCAATATCACACAGCTAAGAGAGGCAGAGGCCAGAGTGGATACCAGGTACACCACAGTCAACTGATATTAAATCTCTCTGACGTCCCTGTCCTAGCAGGATTCAGGGACTTTTACACATGACTATCAGGGACTCTTAAGCATGAAAGGCAATGTGTGGGCAAAAGGGTGACTCCTCTCCTTAGAGGCCAGAGGCCTCCCTACCCCACTCATGCTCTGTCCCAGGCCCAGTGTCCACTGAACTAGTGCTTAGGGGTTTATTTCTCTCCCAGGAACACTGATGACAAGCTTCAGGGAAGACCCATAGGAGCTGTAACTGGGCTAGACACAGAAACAAGAACCATTCGAGACCAATTTCCAGGCTGTCTGGAGGGAAGAAGCGACTATCAGGAAGTGAGGAGGAGGCCCCAGGAGCAAGCAGGCTGTGGAGCAGTGCGCTGGCACTCAGTGACACTGGCCTGAGGGCAGCAGCCTGGGAGCCAGGCAGCCTGGAACTTGGGCCTAACTTCCCTCTGTGGTCTTCACCTTCCTCCTTAGATGCCAGATGGTCAGTCTGGAAGAGCTTCAAGAGCCCATCAGCACAGCCGGTCTGTGTGGGTGTTGAGGACAATCCCATCCACGCAGCTGTTGTGATGCTCCCCAGACCCTGAGGCCCTAGCCTCAGCCCACAAAGCTCCTACCCACTCTCCAGTCCCCTTCTTATACCACGGACCCTGTCATAGGTTGAATTGTGGCCCACAAAAAGATATGTTGATGCTCTAAACCCCTAGTACCTGGGAATGTGACCTCATCTGGAGACAGTGCCTTTGCAGATGCAATTGAGTTAAGATGAGGTCATTAGAGTGGGCCTTAGTCCAATATGACTGGTGTCCTTATAAGAAGGGGAAATGTTGTGTGAAAACAGAGACACACAGAGAAAAAACTCTGTGACGATGGAGGCAGAGACTGAAGTACTGCGGCTGCAAGCCAAGGAGCACCAGGGGCTGCTTTTTTCCTGTAAGAAACATACAATGAGCATATTTAAGAGTCAACAAATACAAAATTACATCATCATTTTTAGTGGCTGCCCAACATTCCATTGTAAGATGAACCACAATTTAGTTAACCAGTGCCCTATTGTTGGGCATTTAGATAATTTTTAGTTTTTCTAAATGTAAATAACACTGCCACAAACATCTGAAAAATGGGCATCTTTGTGATCTTGTCTGATTATTTCTTGATGAAAAGTTCCTAGAAGTGGATTGCTAGGTCGATGACTTTGTGTGTTTTTAAGGCTTCTGATGCATAGTGCTAACCTGGCCTATAAAACAGAGGATCTTCCTGCAGGAGAAGGGGGCAGGGGTGAAGAATGAGTTGGAGAAAATGAGACCAGTGTGGAGCAGTGGAGCTGGCAGCAGGGGAGTTAGTGCTGGGCAGGTGGGCAGGATCCTGGAGGCCCAAGGCTGCTTGGCACAGCTGGACCTTGAGGCAGGTATGAAGTTGCCCACTCTGGGAGGACTCTGCTCAGGCCTTCTCTTGGGCAAACTTGACTTGCAGCTTTTTGACTTTGGTTTTGAAGCAGCTGAGCCTTTGCTCACCTCAGGGGGCCCCTTCGTGAGCCAATTGTAGGGGAGAGAAATTGTAGGGAATTTCCTCCATTCTTAGGAAATTATTATTATTATTATTATTATTATTATTATTATTATTTTATTTTTTTGAGGAAGATTAGCCCTGAGCTAACAGCCGCCAATCCTCCTCTTTTTGCTGAGGAAGACTGGCCCTGAGCTAACATCCATGCCCATCTTCCTCTACTGTATATGTGGGATGCCTACCACAGCATGGCTTGCCAAGCGGTGCCATGTCCACACCTGGGATCCGAACCGGCGAACCTCAGGCCGCCGAAGCAGAACGTGGGAACTTAACTGCTGAGCCACCGGGTCGGCCCCAAGGAAATTATTTTTAAAAATGAGAGTATTTTCAGAAAGCCTCCTTGCTCCTGAGAGGCCAGTGGCATCTACGCATGTGGTGTGTCTTCTCGTATGTGGTTGTGATGTGGGGGAGGGTTTAGGCAAGGGCCCTCTGACCTGGGCAGGAATGAATGATTGCTGCTCTTTGGGGGCCACCCCAATCCCACTCTCCAGATCTGCCCCATCCTGGAATCTAATCAGCTTATCAGTTTGCTTGAAGCTTGAAAGTTTCAGCATGAAACTTGCTCCTCTAGTTTTCCACCCCTTTCTGGGAAATCAAGACACAGAGGAAGCAGGGCTTTGGACCAACCCACTCACCTGGCTTCACATCCCCTCTCCCTCATTTACTAGCCTGTGGGACCTGGGGCAAGTTAATTCACCTCACTGAGCCTCAGATTACCCATCTGTAAATTGGGGATACTATTATTTCTGTCTGACAGGGTGGCTGAGTGAATTAAGTGAAACACCTGGCATAATGTCTTGAGCATGGTAAACACTTTATTATTATTATTATTATTATCATCATCAACATGACTGCCTTTTTGGCTGAAACCACCGGGTTCTCTCTGAGAAGTCACAGGCAGGGCCACTTCCTGTGAGAGCTGAAACCCCAATCCCCTGCAGCCTTTCTGCTCCTACCAAGCCCTTTACTCGAAAGGCTGCTGTTACAGGAAATGACTGCCCACTTTCCCCGCCTCCCTCATAACTCCGCAGTCTCCAGAAAAAGAGGATCTGCCTCTGGAAATCAGAATAAAATAATCAGGCAGGGCAGCATGCTGTAGTGCGTGTGCTGCCTTTGGCTGAGTGTGCTGAGTCCTGCGTGGGTTTTGGTGGAGTGTGTTTTCACCACGGGGGCTTGAGGGGAAGCTGGTGTTCCGGGTTGGGGCTGCAGGGAGTGCTAGGGAGTTTCTGAGCACCCTTGCTTTGGCGTAGCAAAGGGCAGTGGAATGGGGACCTTCTCAAGCTTTCACCCCCAGCCACCCTAAGACTTGGGCGTGGCGCATCAGGGCCTTGGTGGGAGGGCTCCTCCTGCCTCCCTGCGGTGCAAGAAATCTCTTCCTCCCCAGAGCACTCTAAGCTGCAGGTCCGGTGAGCTGCCAGGGCTGGAATGTGGTAGAGAAAACTTCAATTGCTTTTGACCTTTTATTTTTCAGGCTGCACCCAGAGAGGCTGCCTTTGGTTGCCGGGAGCCTTTGCACTGGAACTTCTGTTCCTGTTGTCTTCCAGAAACAGCCTGTGATCTGGGAGGTAGAAGGTAAGATCAGGAGGAGCCCAGCCAGAGCTCTAAGGCTGAGGCCCCCGGAACCCAGAGGTGAGTGGCAGCCTTCTGACTGCCCTGCCCCCAACCCCTGAACTGTGGTTTTCAGCTTTGCTGACTAAGGTCCTCCCTGGGGTGGATTCTGGGGAGAGGGAAGCCTAGGTCCCCAAGGGTCCCTAGGTGGGTGGGACAGCTGCTGCCTTCTTTCTTCACCACATCCGTGGTCTCGCTGGGGTTGGGTGGGGTATATATATGTGGGCGCGTGCACTTCTCCACCTGCTCTATTTTCAACAAATCTCTCCTGGACAGGAGCTCTGGGATGCTGTATGCCCAGGCTGTCCCCTAGGGGTGTCTCCAAGAGCAGCCTCTGGGTAGAGAGCTGGGGGAGGTGCCCAGCCAGGGCCTCAGTTCTGGAGCAGGAGAGTGAGGGGAGCACAGCCGTGGATTTCTTGGTACCCACAGATGCCTCACTCCAGCCTGCACCCGTCCATCCCACAGCCCAGGGGTCACAGGGCCCAGAAGGCAGCCTTGGTCCTGCTGAGTGCCTGCCTGGCAGCCCTCTGGGGGCTAGGGGAGCCGCCAGACCACATTCTCCACTGGCTGGTACTCCACCTGGCCTCACTGCAGCTGGGGCTGCTGTTGAAGCGTGCCTGCAGTCTGGCGGAAGAGCTGTGCCACATCCACTCCAGGTGACTCCCTGTAGTACCCATGGCAATTGGCCACCCAATATGTCTCACTCCCTTCACCCCAGCCCTGCCCCCCCTTGGATCTCTCTGGCTGAACTAGGTTGGAGTCTGTGGCTTGGCTGTCACCTTCAGGTACCAGAGCAGCTACTGGAGGGCTGTGCAGGCCTGCCTGGGCTGCCCCATCCGCGGTGGGACCCTGCTGTTACTGTCCTGCTATTTCTACTACTCCCTCCCAAACAAAAATGGCCTGTCCTTCATTTGGATGCTTGCCCTCCTGGGCCTCTCACAGGCACTGAACATCCTCCTGGGCTTCCAGGTATGAAACAGAGGGAGGTGTGGAGGGTGTGGCCAAGTGGAGGTTGTGGCTAGTGTGACCTGCTCTGAGCTCAGTACTGGGAGTGGGACTAGTTTAGAGTTGGTCCTTAGATTGGAGTCTGTGATGTCCTGGAACAGTGGGTTCAGCAATGGCAGAAAAGGGAGAAATTAGGCAGCAGTTTGGGAAATCTTTTTGGAGGAGGAGGGTTCTGGTTGTCCTTCATGGAGGTCCCCCAGCCCCACCCTGCTGTCCATAGGGCCTGGCCCCAGCTGAGGTCTCTGTAATCTGTGAGGAAAACAACTTCAACGTCGCCCATGGGCTGGCATGGTCATATTATACTGGGTACCTGCGGCTGATCCTGCCAGGTGGGCCATCCTCTATGCCTCTATTTCCAGATCTACAAGACAGATAATAAGACACATAGCCTCTTGTGTTTCCAGAACTAGCTATATTTTTCAAAGAATTTTCATGTCTAACAAATCATTTGATTCCCAAAGCAATCCTGTAGGCATGAAGGATGTTATTATTATGCCTGGTTTACAGGAAGGAATATGGGGCTTAGAGCCATTAAGTGACTTGACCAAGAATTCTTTCAATAAATGTTTACTGCATGCTATGTGCCCTTCATGTGCATTTTCTCTTTTAATTCACACCCTGTGAAGAAGGGATAATCGTCATCTCTGTTTTAGAGACAAAAAATTGTGGTTCCGAGAGATAAAGTGACTTGTCCAAAGTCACACAGCTTAGTAAGAGGAAGAGACAAGATTTGAACCCGGGTCTGCTCAGATCCTGGACCCCTGACCACTCCACTTTGAGCCCAAGTGTCCTGTCTCATTCTTCTGACTTGCTGGCCAAGGCCCTGGTTCTCCCATAGCCTTTTGCTGTCTTCCCTTGACACCAGGGCTTCTGCTGGGAAATGGGTCTGGAGCTAGAGGCCTAGCTCAGTGCACCTGGGAGCGCTGGGAATGTCACCTTCCAGGGCTCTGCCTGTCGCTCAGAGTCCTGAAAGGTGTGGTAGGAAGGAATGGGACTGACACAGAAATCTGGACAAAGGCCAAGTGAGGGGAGAGCGGGGCGGTGGGAGCAGGTGAAGAGGTGGGGAGGATTCCGGATAATCTGCCCCTGCCGGCTTCCGGATAATGCGAGTGGACTAGACCATTCCCTTGCACCCGCACATCGAGGGGACCAATCGTCTGGGTCTCTGTCCTGGGTGCGGTGGAAGACAAGGTTAATGAGAATGATTTCCTGGGCCTCTCCACCCAGGGCTCCGGGCCCGGATCCAAGTTTACAATCAGCTCCACAACAACGTACTATGCGGCGCAGGGAGCCATCGGCTGCACATCCTCTTCCCATTGGATTGTGGGGTGCCTGACGACCTGAGTGTGGCTGACCCCAACATTTGCTTCCTGCATGAGCTGCCCCAGCAAAGTGCTGACCGTGCTGGCATCAAGGGTCGGGTTTACACCAACAGTGTCTATCGGCTTCTGGAGAACGGGCAGCCGGTGAGTGTTCAGGGAGGTGGGTGCTGGTGGGGAGGGTCAGACCCAGAGCCCCAGAACTTCAACCCCTGGCCAAGCACTGAAAAAATTTCATTGCCCTTCTCTGAGCCTCAGTTTCCCCAATTGGTCCCAGGGCTGGGCAAGATTCAGCTCCGAATGATAATAATGATATGCAACACTTATTGAACACTTATTGTATGCCAGACGTTATTCTAGGAGCTTCATCTGACACCTCACCGAATCCTCACCACTATCCTGTGGGGTAGGGACTGTTATGCCCCTTACTTTACAGATTAGGAAACTGAGACTCAGAGAACTATCAAGAAAGTAGATGATTTCAACCTGAGTTTACCAGGCTCAGGACCATAAAGCTGCCCTAGATGAAAGCTGTGAGAATGTTTGAAGGATTTCATGTGGCTGGAAGGAAACCCAGACCAGGGTTGAACCCCAGAGCCCAGCCCCCAGACTCAGTTTCCAGCTGGAGCAGTTGATAGCCTAACTCCATGGGCCTTGCCCTGGGATCTTAGGAGGAGGATCTGTGAAGGGTAAATTTAACACAACCCTGGCCCTGATTTTAGGAATGGGGCATCAGAGGCAAAGGCCAATCAGATAGCATAGACCCCATCAGGATGAATTTCTCCCAGGACACCATGTCTACAGACTGAAAGAGTGGGGCCCCAGCAGTGGCACTGGGGTCCAGAGTCTGTCTGCTTGGCCCTTGGTTGAATCTGGTCTTCCTCTTACCTCCTCCAGGCAGGCGCCTGTGTCCTGGAGTATGCCACCCCCTTGCAGACCCTGTTTGCCATGTCACAGGATGGCCGAGCTGGCTTTAGCCGGGAAGATCGGCTTGCGCAGGCCAAACTCTTCTGCCGGACACTTCAAGACATCCTGGCAGATGCCCCTGAGTGTCAGAACAACTGTCGCCTCATTGTCTACCAGGGTGAGGGGTTGACAAGATGGGGAGCAGGAGAAGTCAGGGATCCCAGGGGTCTCCCAGAGGGTCAGAAGGAGATATGGCAGTACCATACCCTGGGCATTGGTGGTCATTCAAGTGGTCATTCAAGCCCTGTCCCTTCCTCCCCTGGGAGAGGTCCCACCTCCCCACCTTGGGACACTTGATTGCTTTCTGGGGTCTTTGGCTATGGGTCTTGGGTGGAGCATGAAGAAGTGGGCTCTAGGGGCCCCTCACTTCAACTAGGGATGCTAGAGGAAGCAGAAGAGCCCCAGGCCAGGAACCAAGAGACCCAGGTTGCAGCCTCAGCTCTGCCACTCCCTTGCTGTGTGATCTTGGGCAGCTCTCTGCCCCTCTCTGAGCATCATCCCTAAAAGTGAGAGTGGAATTCTGTTAACTCTAAAACCACTTCTAGTTCTAGGATTCCATGAAACTCTAATCCCAATGGCTAGGAGCGGGGAGGCAGTACAGGGAGGTCGGGGAGAGGGAAGGTTGGAGGATCTGCCCAGCAAGTCCTCTGGGTGTGTTGGAGTGGGAATGTGCGAGGGCCTCATCCCACTCCCCCACTTTCCTCACCCCCATTCTAGAACCTGCAGATGGAAGCAGCTTCTCCCTGTCACAGGAGATTCTCCAGCACCTGCGGCAGGAGGAAAGGGAGGTTACTGTGGGCAGCGCGGAGACCTCGGTGGTGGCCACTTCCTCCACTCTGTCCCAAGACCCCCAGCTCCTCATCAGTGGCATGGAACAGCCTCTCCCACTCCGCTCGGATGTCTTCTGAGGCCCAGGGTCACCTTGCCTGAGCCCCCAGCGATTCCCAAGACTCTAGATTGGGGGCTTTCTTCAACAACTGGATTCCCAGCAGAATCGTTTCCTCTCACAGGAGGCCTCTCAGAGAAGGTCCCTGGACTTGACATCTCAAGAAGAGCCCTATGACCTTGGGCAAGTTGTTTCACCTCTCTGAGCCTCAGTGTCCTCATCTATGAAATGGGATTATAATCACGGCCTACATACCTCACAGGGTTGTTGTGAGGATTATGACGGCATGGAAGTTTTTTGTAAACTCTAAATGCCAAGTAAACTTAAGGGATGTGCCAAGTGTCTTCCATTGGGCCTTCTGGACCTACTCTCCACCCTTCTCCTCCTCTGCCCTGGAATCACATCAACAGGCTCCATTGCCCTCTGGCCTCTGGATCATGTTCTGTCAACAGAGAACCCTAGTGGAGGGAAGGAGGAGGGTGAGTTTGGGCCGTTTATTCTCCCAGCTCCCTCCCTGTGGTATCAAGGTCACTGTGGGCTTTGGGCATCTGTCCACCTAAAGTCACAGCTTGGAGACCCTCTCCATAACTCTGTGTATCTCCAGGTTCTGGTAACTGCTTCCTCCCCCTGCCCCTTCAGGCCTAGCAGGGGTACTGGCTCCCCTGATGCTCATCATGGAGCTCTCACTTTCACTTGCGGTTTCCTTATACCTGCTCTTTCTAAATAGACCCCTTTTTAAACACGCCTCTGATTATCCATTTCAGTGTGCCATCTTTTTCTGGCCGGACTCTGATTGATGCCAGCAAATGGCATTTATTATCCACATTGTCCAAATCTGCTTGCACAGACATACTTCCTTGCACCCCTCCTTATCCTAGTACAGGGCAGTGGGGTCGTGGGTATTGTTTCAATGTGGACAGAGCCCACTGATCAGGCTGTGGGCATAGACTTGGGCAGCATTTCCCACTCCACCTGCCCTTTTGATGCCCTTGTCACCAGTGGGAGGCTTGGGGAACAGGGAGGGGCCTGATCCAGCATGCAGATGCCATGAGGGGTACACAGCTGTGTCCTTGGCAAGCGGCGGCCCAAAGGAGCAGGGACCATTGAATAAATGCCCTCAGACAAGAGAGCCTGCAAAGGGATAAGATGGGAAGAAGGTTTGTGTGAGGAGATGGACATACTCTGAGGGACCTTGAACAACACAGCCAGCCACCTGCCATATCTTATGCCATTACTGTTAGGAGCTGAGCTGCTCCAACAACACTCTAGTGGCAAAATTGCCCCCATCTGGGAGGGCAGGTGACCCATTTCTACCAGTTCCATCCATCCCACCCAGGACTTGTTCCCTCCCTTCTCCCTTTGTTTTTATCACAAATGCTCGATATGAATTTCTGAGTACAGTATCGCTGTGAGAAAGGCTCCACACACAGACACACATTTGCCAGACGGAACTGACTGCCCCCATGGATGACAGAACCAAGCGACTGAGGGGGAAAACAGTCATTTCCTCTCCCCAGCTGTCTAGCTATTCTGCCCCCAAGGCCTGAGGATCCTCCAACATCACACCAGTCACTCTTACATCTAGAAACCAGCCCCAGATCAAGGGCCTGCCCAACGTGACCTTTCCCCACACATCCAGCCCCCAACATGGTGCTCAGGTGTGGAGTCTGATGGCCCCAGGTTCAAATCCTGACTCCACCACTTAGTAGCTGTGCCCACCTAGGTGTCTTGATATCCCCAACGGTGAAATGGGGATAACAGTGGCTTCTCTTCCCAACGTTGTTATGAGGAGCGAATGGTACAATATCTGTAGGTCCACAGATTAGCCTGGTGCCCAGAGCATAGCTGGCCCACAAGAAGGAGCAGCTATTAACATTATAGCTGCCTCTCACCAGTCCCAAAGGAGGCAAGCCAGTCCTCTGCACACATTACAATCTCTACCTCTGTTCTTCTTCATCTTCCGTTATTTCCCAGCCTCCCTGACTGTGCTGGGGTCTCACTGAGGGCAGGCCCCAGGGTTGATGTGCTGCCCTCGGGGGTTCCCCAGGGTAAAGCACCCAGAGGTCCCTCCCTCCATAAATGCCTGTCTGCATGTTCTTGATTCACGTAAGTGACATTCAGAGGTGTCAGGGAAAGAGGTGCCGTTCCAGAGAGCTACTGTGAGGCTCAGCTCTGCCTTCCTGGCCTCCTGCATCTTCCCACCCTTCATATCCCTCTTCCTGCAGGTCCTCTCCCCACTCCTTCCTGCCCCCAGACAAGTTCCATGGAGCTCCTTTTCCTTTCCTCATCTCCCACCAGCCAGAAGGTTCTGGATCTGGGAAATCTCCTAGGATAAATTCTAGACTAGTTCCAACAGGCTCCCATACACAGAAGATGGGAGGTAATGAAAACCTCCAAATTTCCCCCACCCCATCCTGGGAAGGCAGGGCAGAGTCATGCCCCAAGATAGTGCGAGCCATTTAAAAGCAATTTGGGGAACTATAATTGGTACTCGGGGCTTTGCAAGGGCCTTGCAAGTGTTGACAAGGCCTGGGCCTTGACAGCCAAAGGGATGTGCCCCAACCAGGGAAGGGCAACAGATTTCCCTTCCTTTCCTGAGTCCCAAGAAGGCAGACCCCTGTGTTCTTCACCTTGGTTCTCCTGCCTGGCTCTCCTAGGACCTGGCAACTGTGTAGGCAGGGCCTCTACGGGGAGCCTCTGACATCCCTGCAGGAGGGTGGGCTTGGTGGTGAAATCTTCCAAGGTAGACTCACTTTGACACCCAAATAGGAGGCGATTAGGAGTGGGAGGAGGGAGGAGGGACTCGGAGAGGGAGGTACAGGGGTCTGGTGGTCCCTGAAAAGAGGGCAGTAGCTTTGCAGGGGTGGCCTTGGGCACTGGGAATGCTCACAGCAGCATGTTTCTGGGCAGGGCCCCCAAGTTTCTTTTATTTCTCCTGTGCATACAGGGCTTCCTCTAGAAATATTCTGCTGAGAGGGCAGCTCCTGCCGAGTCCACGTGTCCACTTCCAAAGCTCTGAAGCCCAGGCCCCAATATGCTTTTGACCTAATTCTCTGTGCAGTTTCTTGTTCTGAGCCAAGTCAGGCCAACTTTCCAAAGTCTCCTTCCTACAGGTATGTGACTTCATCAGTGCTGAGCCTAGGCCCATCTGGCACAAGGCAGAAGCCAGAGACAGGAGGTCCTGGCCAGGCATCTTCGTGACTGTCTGGAGGGTCCAGCACTCGCCAGTGGATGAGGTAGATGCCACCCTCTGGCTTTGGGACTGATGGTTCTCTGGAGAGAGTGGCATGGCCGTGGTGTAGCCTTGGCCCAAAGTGGACTACCACCACGATACAGACTGCCAGCAGGACAAAGACAGCGACGATGACAGAGAGCAGGGGCAGCCCGTCCCCTCGAGGTGGTTCCCAGGTCCCGCTGAGCACCTTTGGGAGTTGCTTCTGGGGTTCCTGCTCTGCTGAGCTGTTCACAGCTGGAGAAAGCCAGGGATAGTGGCCAGCCTGGGACGGGAGTGGCAGAGAGAGAAGGTGATGTGAGCATGTATACATAGAAAAATACCAAAATAGAGAGAGACAGACATCCAAAGAGAACTGAGAGAGACACACACAGGGAGCCTCAGAGAGAGAGAGAGGAACAGAGACAAAGAAAGAGAGACAGAGTTAAGACATGGAGAGAGAGAGAGAATAGAAAGACAGAGAAACATAGAGATAAACACACACAAAGCAATAGAGAGAATAAAAGAAAAAAGACAGATGGGAGATACAGAGAGAAAGAATACAAAGAGAAAAAGAGAAAGAAAAAGAGAGAGAAAGAGGAAGAAAAAGAAAGAAGTGAAATAGATATGGAGAGACAGAGACAGAGAAAAACGAAACAGAGATAGGGAGACAAAGTCATTCAGAAAGGGACAAAGAGGAGGCTTCGTTACGGTCTGGAATACAGAGTTTGGCTCCCCAAGTCCTCCCACTACTCTTTCTTTCCAGGTCTCCAGCAAAATTCCTAAATAGATCCTATGTCCTGGGTCAGGAATCTTAGCACACTACAGGCTGCTGTCCCACATCCTGGGCAGAGGGCAGGGAACAGCTGCTTCTTAAAGTCCTGGGAAAAGGGAGTCATTGTGTCCTGCCTCTTAGGTGCTCCCTACTCTCAACTCACATGGAAAGCAGAGGGCGGTACCCTGGGCGGAGGGAGAGAGGAAGAAGAGACATGAACCCGAGAACCTTGGGGTGAGGAAAGAGGGATACCTCATCCCATAATCCCCTCCGCCCCCCCCCGCCCCCTAGGTATCAGGATCAAGTTCAGGGGCCTGGAGAGGAGGGGCTGCCCAGTTGATTCCTGGTTCTGTCCAGGATGGACTAGAGACCTCACGCCAGCCTCTTTCACGGTCCCAGCGTTCTTCTGCCAAAAGCTGGAGGTCATGATCCTTACCTCTGTCTGTCTTCACCCTGCTAAGTGTTGAGCAGGGATTGCCATGAAGGTAGCAAACCTCCAAACTGTAAATCCCAGAGCTGGCAAGGTCACCACAGGCTCAAGAAACTTTTTCTCCCTAGCCTCCTCTTCCTCAGCCAGACCATCAGGAGCAGACCCTCTGGGGAGGAGCCTCTCCCCTGATCCTGAGTCCTCAGCCTGGCCCTCCTCATGGGTAGGCAACTGGGGTCCAAGAAAGGCATTCAGGACAAACTCACTCCCTTTAGTTCCTCAGTCACAATGTCCACCCTCTCCCATCCCCAACACGTGTCCCTTCACATTTGGAAAGTCCAATACCCACCCCCACTTGAAAGTCTGAGGCTGTCTGGGGCCCAGGTCACACAGCTCCCAGGGCAGCGGGTGGGGAAGCAGCTCCGGAAGTACAGGGGCTAAAAGGGAAGCGCAGGCTGGTGAAAGGCTTGGGGCCCCTGCCGGGAGTCAGACCAGCCTGGCAGGAGGGGGTGAGTCAAGAGAGTCTACCTGGTGCATTGTCTGGGCCGGCGCAAGGCTCCCTCAGGACTGGCGGTCAGCCGGGCAAAGGAGAGCCTGCCGCCCCAGCCCAGCCCCTACCCGGAGCTGCCACGTCTGTGGGGCTCACGGGGCACACACCCTCTGCACACACAGCCTCATCGCTCTCTCCCGCGCTTTCACTTCCGTGAACATCATCGGGACTATCCTGGCCGGCCCTTAACTCTGATAGAAACTTGATCTTATTCTTGGGCCCCTCCTTTCATGCTCCCTGCCAGCTTTAGGAGCCTGGGTCTACCTGCCCATCCCTCCTCCACCAGATTCCAGACACTTGGCCAGCACCCCCACCACGCCCCGCCCCCACCAGGACCTATCAACCGCCCCCCCCCCCCAACTGATCTCTCAAGTTACAGTCCTAGGATTTTTTTTTCAATGCAGTATCTCAAACACACTGGAAAGTGTAGACTATTATACACTAAATCTCTCTGGCCCAACCACCAGCTCTGTCCATCTCAATGGTTTGTCACATTTATTTCAAAAAAATTTTAGAACTAAAATATTAGAGATAAAATAAACATCCCACTCCCTGACCTCTCCCCTCCTTCTCATCCCAGGGAGAACGACCTTGTTGAATTTGATGTTTATCATTCCCATGCAAGAAATTCTTTTCTCTTTGGGTTTTTTCTTCTTTGGCTATTACAAATATTAATTCCATATATCTCTGCATTTGTCTGAAAGTAACTTTATTTGACAATGTGTGCGCTTTAATGTGTCAAGTCAAAAAGTGCCCACCAGTTTCTCCTCTCTCTGGAGAGT